CGTGGATGGGGGGGGGGGGGGAGGGAGGGAAGCTTGTACCGCATCTTCCCCCGCTCCCTCCAATTTGGGGCCGAGCCCTCGCATGCATTAACCCGCTGGTAGAGATGGAGGAGGGACAGAGGAGGAGGCTCTAGCCGCCTCCAGCAGATGGAGGACGAGCAGTCAAGCCAAGGGATGTTAGGGGGAACGCAGGGGGACTAAATTGGTGCCCCTGCCCCCAGCATGGCTCCCGGGGGTAACTGCCCCCCCTCGCTACACTACTGTAAGATTTGATGGTAGAAGGTAACTTTGTGATCCTTTTTTCCCCATATACAGCTTGCATCATATAAAATTAAAGCCTAAGTAGGAAGCATCGTAATATTCATAGACAGAACTCTGTGATTTAAGAAGAATGCATCTCCATATGTTATGCTCCATTGTAATAATTTTTCCAGTAACAAATAGAAAAGAGGCTGAGCAGTTGTGATTAGATTAATCAAGAGAACCTCTGTGACATACCTGCTCTACTAAAGGGGCAGCAGAGCCTTTATTTCCAGAGATGTTTTCCAAACTAAGACATTTCAGAAGTACAGAAACAGCATAACATGCTGCCCCTTTAGCAGGTTAATTTTTAATTAAACACCACAGCTCTTGCTCACCATGAAGAGCAGGTATGTCACAGAGTTACTAGCTTGGCCTCCTTGAAGAGGCATTAGTCGTGATTTAGCTCCAGAGGACATTTTTCATTCTGTTGAAAAAACAGTCATAACAAACTGGGTCAGGAAGTGATGTGTAGGTGGCGATTAAATCAGTAATGCCTCATATATCAGGGAATTCAGAAATACACTAAATATATGGCGATAGCAATAAATAACACAACATAAATTGCAAAGTTTTACAGAAGCAATTTAATAATAGTTCAGACCAGAGACCTGCTCCTACTTCTATTGAAGTTGGTAAAAATGTTGTTTCTGACTTTAATGATGGCAGGATTGGTCCATATCCTACCTTTGATCATGTACTCAAAAATGGCAAACAAAAAGTAAATTCAGTTTGTCCAGAACTGTACATACATGTTACTGCTGTGGCATCTTCTGACATCTAAATAAAAACATTACACTCTGCACCAGGGGCTTGTCTGAGTTCCTTAACCATAAGATGATTTATTGTTCAATTCTGAAAGCTAAAATTAAGCAACTCAATTGAGATGTGACTCTGCTTGTATTTAGATTCCTGTGGTAAAATCCACATGGGTTTGAAAAATGTTTGTAAACCATTTTCTATGGTACAAAATGAGAGATTCAAAACCTGGAACCTTCTTTCAACATGAAAGCTGAGCTAACTGTAATCATTTGCACATTGTTTGGTGGTGGGTTTGTTCTCTCATTTTTTTAAAATGTAAACTAAATCTGTTTTAATGAATTCTTACTTGACCTTCATAGTTTGATTCACTAATAATTTTGCTTTCTGTTTGTTGCTGACTAATCTGGTAGTGTCTTTTTCTTTGAATTGGATTGGTTCTAACTTTCCTTTTTACTCTGTCCTTTCCTCCTGTAATAGCTTTTCTTACCTATTGCTGCAAGAATGTCTCAGGAGTCTTACTTTGAAACTAAAACAGAGGAGTCAAACAGTGCAGAGATGTCATGTCAGATCACAGCAACAAGTAACGGGGAGGTAGCTGGCATGAACCAAAGTCTGCAGGCCTTGATGATGACGGGCTTTGGGGATATCTTCTCTATGAACCAAGCAGGATCTGTCCTGCATTCTGGAATGCAGATAAACATGCAAGCCAAAAAGAATTCTTCTAAAACCACCTCTATGAGAAAGGGGAAGAAAATCAACATGGCTGTGGGTTTCAGAGAGTTTGACTGGTCAGATGAAGATGATGATGATGATTATTTTGATGATACCGATGATTCTAGTGAATGAAATTAGAAATCTAATTAAATCTACAATTGGATTCTAGCAAATCAAAGCAATAAAGTTTCAGAAAAAGCATCCTGTCATTTTGGTCTGTTTTAAACCCTGTAAAAGAAACAAAATGAAAAACACTACTTTTTTTTAGGCCAGTCATAATTTGTATGTTACAAAGATATCTTGTTGGTTTTTAGATTGTGTTGACTTATTTTTGTTTTGCTGACATTTGAAACTAAAATTTCAAAACAAATCAAGGTTTTTAAAACCCAACAAATATAGCTGCAGCTCACATTTATGCTGTAACATTTGGAAATTTTTGTGGCTGAATATCTTTAAGATGAGAACTTAACATCTATTTACTTAAACTGACATCTGTTACTTTTCTCTTTGGGTTTTTGGGTTGTTTGTAGTTTTCTTTACTGTTTTATTGTTGATCATACAAATATATTTGTGCTTCCCTGAGGACTTTTCCTATACAATTCATTGTTTCTGACTGCTACAGTGAAGTTCTCTTGATAAATTTGTGATGTGATATAAATACATTTCTAAGAAGGACAAGCATGGTTGAGAAAAATAAAGCTTTTGCAGACACACAGTTTAAGAAACAGCAACTGCATATAGACAACCACTGGTCATAGATAATTTTTTATAAATGTTCTTTTCTCTCTTTCACTTCAGTTTTTGAAATTCACCCTTAACACAATCAATTTTAAAATAACGCCTCACCACCTAATAGCATTGTTATAATCTGCAAACTCATTGGTTTTCTCTTACATTGGTGTAAATCTAGGAAATCTCATTAATTTTGATGGATTTACTCTGAATTTATTCTGGTTTCACTGAGAGCAAAATTGGTCTAGGTTATTTACAGCAATTTTTTATTTTGCTCTAACTATTAAACCATTTATCACTGTTCTTCCCATAGAAGGAGCAAGAGAGACATTTTAAAAGTGTTTGGGCCCCCCTACTGTGGCTTAAGTTAAATTCTCAGTGATGACGTGAAGAATATTCTCTAGCATTTAAATATCCATTTTTCTGCTGTGAAATCATTTAAAAATATTACCACTCTTGTTATGCTTCATCTTACAATTGAGTATATAAGTATCTGCTTCAGTAATTACTCCACAGACATTTTATTTGGAACAGTGAATGTATTTTCCTGGTGTCCTCTTTAGCAGTGGTATAGAAAGAGAGAAGGAAATATACATATATATGTTCACACCTACAGATGCAGAATAAAGGCCCATTGTAAAATGTTTGCCAAATGAAAAAGGCCAAAAAAAAGTATAGAAAAGTGTTACTTTTCTGTTCAAATGGATTTAAAGGTATAATTAACCTCCTAAGTGTCATGTGTTGATGAGGTTTCTCTCATGAAAAAAGGAGATTAGTACTGTCTAAATATCTCAGGATGTGGACTCATTAAATTATAGCAGTCTTGAAGTTGGTTCTCCACGAGTTTGGAACATTATAGTCTACTATTTAGAAATAACAAGATAAAAAGCTTTTGAGATATTTTAAAATGAGCTTTTCAAGGGTGATGAGTGCAATCTTTGAGAGGTGAAAGATGGGCCCAGTAGCGCTCTGATAATCTGCAAAGCACTCAGTGCTTTCAACTACGCTTGAGTTCAACTGGAGCTAAAAGTGCTCAGCGCTTCACAGACTTGGGCCCTTAACTATATAAAAGTATAGAATTTGAGCTAAGTTCCACCCTCTTGCTAGCAGGTTCAAATCCATTGGCTTGAAGTTAACTGTGATATCTGGGGCAATTTTTTCATGCTAGTAAGTATTTGTAATTTCTACACTGAACAGTTGACAAAGAATAGAAAAAGGGCAACCAATTAAATCGAAATGGCAGCAAACAAGCTACTTCCAAATGTACATTTGTATTGTTTTTTAAGTTTGAACCTGCTAACAGCAATAGCGGTGATATTATTTTTATAACCGCTGTACCCCACATAGGAAAAATTGAACAATCTGTATAAACTAATTTGTATGTCTGTTTTAAACTACTGTGCCATATTTCTAGTGTAGAATTGTACAGCTGTAAGTGAAGTCAAAATTGAACCCAGTATGTTTAGAAATGCAAAAAAGAAGTCTCTTCTTAGCACTGATATTTTGCACTTTTTAAGTACCTAATAATCTGCACGCACTTTATACATATGTGTGTTGGTTTTAATTAGATATGCAAATCCACGTCTTGATTTAAATCTGCACCTAATAAAATATTCCATCACTATTATTATATCATGTGACCTTTTTGTTGAGGATAGATATTCTCATGCATCTCCCATTAAGTGCAGAGGAGTTATTTGAGCATAATAAATGGAATAATTTGACATCTTGTACATAGAGTTCAGAGCTGGAAACAGAATTTAAATTTAGTTTTCAATGAAAAACAAGCACATGCTTATGAATTGTCTCATTTTTAACCAGCTTTAATAAAGATATATTGAGAAATAAAGCAATAACTCTTCAAACACTTGTTTTCATCTTCACATTTGAAAGGTCTTAGAACTGTTGTAAAAGAAAGATCCACTGAGCTCAAGGCTTTCCCAAAACTTTCCTGTTCTAATTTTTTTTAAGTATGATTATAATCAGAACAGTAGCTTGTCTTAAAAAAATGACATTGTAGAGATCTTTTTTTATTCTCCTGCAATGACTTTTATGCAAACATACTGTTTACAAACAAAAATAAATCATGCTTGATTATCAAGCTGATAATCCATCCTCACTTTTCAGTATTTGAATTTTGAAAGATTTTGATTGACAGTTCTATTGATATGGAGGCAGAACAAAATCATTTTGATCTTCTACAGTTGATTTTGCTCTGCAAGACCAACAGGATTAAACTTATTTTTTAATCTTTCTAGACATGTTATCACCAAAGTGTCTACAATAGTTAGTTAACAGTTTTACATAGCATGTCACATGATTAAAGCATTAACCAAAAGTTAACTAATGAATCCTCCCAGGATGCTATAAGGTAGATAAGGTAAGCGGTTGTTATCCTATTTCACAGCCAAGGAATCAGATTTAGAGAAATTAGAGGCCAAATCTGGACTTTTAGTTTTTACTCAGTTGTTATACTTAAACTAACACTGGCTTCTGTGAGGCATATTTTCTGATCTGAGTTAATTCAGAGTTTGGCCCCTTTATTTGCCCAAAGCCACATAGTGAGTTGAGATTAGAACTCAGAGTTTCCTAACTCCTGAGAGAGCCTGTTCTCTTTCTTTCAGACTTGGAAACATGCAAGGAATAGATATTGTGAGTAACACTATTTTAATGTACTCACTTTTCTGACTGATAGCACGTAATGCTTTAGAATAACAGTTGCTCTGTGATCTAATGCTTAGATCTATAGACTTAGTTTCAGGGCTTATATAGTTTGTGGAGGATTTGGGACATGCTTGATCAGCTAGCCATAACTGTTAATTGTAGTACTTGGTCTTAGTCTCCTCTAGATGCTGGGGATTACTGAGGCATGAGATCTGAAGTAGCTCTTCCACACATGGTCATGTTTTTGACTTGTTCATTTCTCATTTGGAGTATTTTGTTAGATGTTGATTTCATTTCCTTGTAGATCTTAAAACAGTTTATTGTTCTTAAATATTGATACATTAATGATTTTATTGCTATCAGCAGCAGTAAATCCAGTGCACGCATAATAAAGCTAATAAGTAACTAGCAAAGTTACTGTACATCTTTAGTAAGCTATTTCTTGTTTTTATAATAAGGCAGCTTTTACAGGATTTTAATAAGATCTCCAACTTGACAGAGGTTTAATTATAGGCCAACAGAGAATCCATTCTGTTGTTCCAACTTTCATGTAGCAATATATACTTACAGGAAATGCAGTAATTTTTACAGTTATTAAAATCTACTCATAGATATCTGGAGAGGAATGCATTTTCCCCCTCAGACTTCAATTTGGTGCACATTGACACTTTGAAGTCAGTATAGAGATTTCTGGGGTGTGAAGATTTAGTTTCAGGACTGAACCAACAACCTACGTTAAACACCTTACATTGTGTGCAACAATATATTCTGCTGACTTTTAAAGTCAGGAATAATCCACTGCATTTTCTTGCTTATGCACTCTTTAAAAAGTTTCGTATTGAATATAGGAAATGATTCTATTTATACTCCAAGCGTGAGCAGATTACATTTGAATAGAAAATATTTTCAGTGTTAGAAAACTTCATCCCTTCCTACTGAAATACTATGCTGAGAAAAACCTATGCCAAAATTATTGTGGTGTAAACTGATTAGCTAATTTGTATGGAACATGCAATGTTACACCCTCTTGTGGTAAGACTTTTCAGTAGTCAGTTGTTTTCTTCACTGCACTTAACGTGATGTCTTGCTTTATTCACAGTATAGATTGGTTTTCCAGTTTTTAAAAAAAGTAATGTATTCAATTTTCTCAGTTGGTGTCATACACTTTTATTTTGATGTGAAGTTTTTTCCTTTGCTTCTCTTTGTTCAAAACTTCTATTTTGCAATAAACATTTTGACAGTAAATTTTTTTGCCTCTGTGTTCTTGTGTAAACTGCTGCTGGTAAAGGGATACATTATTGCCTTCTGCTTTGATCTTTTTCATCTTATGCAGGGTATAGCATTTCCCCCTTTATTCTGTTTAATCTTTGTAAATATAACATTTTACAACACTAGTTTTACAACACTCGTTTTCCTCTCCAAAAATGGGAATCATCTGGAAAGTCATTGTGTGTAAGCAAGAATGGAATATTTAACTTGTGCAATAGTAGGATACACACTGAAATACAGCAAACTGTTGGGCCCAAGGTTCCCAATAGAAAGGAAAATACCAGCCCATGTGGAATTTAAGGGCAATTATGTTATTAATTGTTGGAAATATCATGGTTTGCCAGATGCTGATATTGTTGCCAGCGATAGGTGGATACCTTACCACCCTCTCTGCCCAATTTAACTGTCACAGGGGAGTCTTTTCTGGATTTTTCTGACTTTTAATCATTAGGTTATGAAGCTTGGCCCATGCATAGGAAAGCTAGGGGGACAAAAGAAGCTTGCCTTTCTGTGTGGCAGTCAAAGCCATCTTCCCATCCCAGTGCTCACTTAGCTCCGGCATTGTTGGCTTTGCCCATCTGAGGAGGCCAGAAAGGGGTGGGTAGAAGGGCAAGTGTGAAGGAGGGTCAAGGATCTTCACAGGGATGGACAGGGTTAGTCTGATAAATGGTTTGTGGTGAGGAAGGAATTTTCTCTGGAAGCAGATTGGCCAAACCACTGGGTTGGCTGGGGGGCATGGGAGGTTGCTTTTCTCTATACATCTTGCAGTGTTCACCAAACAGAACACAGGAAAAAAGAATTTAGGACAGTCATGAGTCCATATGGGAAGAGCAGAAAGACTTGTCACAAGTTTGGGTGGAAGTTATTATGGGAAGTATTTTAACCTGTTGTCCCACAGTCTGCAAGGTCAGGAAAAGGAAGAGACTAAAAGGTAATGATGTGAACACATGGGGAGACTGCCCTGCATAGGCAGAAGGTCTTTCATGTGTGAGGGAGGAATTCTGGAGAAGAGGTACTGCCACTGCCAAGAGGTTGGGCACTAGGGTGCATGTAGGCTTGTGGATGGCCTACAAGCTAAGGAGATGACAAAGACTGAGAGTTGACCAGTAAAATCTGAATTACAATTTGCTAGTTAAGTAATTAAATAAATGTGCAGCCATAGTATGGTGGCAAGAGTTTGGGAGACATTGTCAAGTCAAACAGAGATAATTAACAGGATACCAATCAGAAGACTAGTAAAGCTTAGACAACCCCATTCTTTAGCTGGTTAGATGGTGGTTACTATCGCCAGGAGATCTTCCATAGTGTCATCTTCAAGCCATTCCTGCCACATACATCCCCTCATGTATCAAATAAATCCTGCTCTGATCGCCACAAAACAAAGTGTAACAAACCATACATGGGGCAGGGGCGTTCAGCTGGCTGTGATGTGTCCCCTTCAGGTTTCGTGTCACACACAGCTCCCAAAAGGAATGATCATGCAAGTGTAGGCAGGAAAGGAAGGGTAAGAAGGGGACAAAAACCATATTTGTTAGTCAGTAGGGAAGTCTAGCTTCACTGGCTCAGTCCCAAGGCAGTTGTGCTCTCTTTGGGTGTCTCTAGATTACAGGGTTTTGTCGACAAAAGTGGACTTTTATTGACAAAACTAAACCTGCGTCTACACTACCGCTGAGTTCTGTCGATGCTGGTAAACCTCATTTTACGAGGAATAACGTCTTTTGTCGACAGAGTTCTGTCAACATAAGGCATTATTGCATCTAAACTGTCCTTTGCGTCCACACTGTTATGTCAACAAAGCAGCTTGCTTTGTCGACAGAACTGAATGTAGTCTAGACACTCTTTGTCGACAGAAGCTTTGTCGACAGTATCTGTTGACAAAACTTCTGTCGACAAAACCCTGTAGTCTAGACGTACCCTTTGTTATGCAGTGACTGCTTCATTCACTATACAGAAAACTTCTCTCCCAGCTAATGGTGGGAAACCAAGACATCCCTTCCATGACTGGAGTCAAGTGATAGTAAAAGCAATGGTGCAACACAAGGAGAGAGTAGTGGCTAGTGAGCCACACTTGGAGGGGATATGCAGGTGGTGAATACTTTTCCAGCCATCATTGCTGTAATATCACTGAAGCCAACCTGTGATCATTTTGGCTAATATGTGAATGTGAGGAATGCTGCTTTGATGGCACTTTATTCTGTAATCCATGGAATAACGGGGAATGTTCTGTTCACAGCCAGGAGGCTTGTGGCCTCAGCTGGAGGAGGAGGTGCCAAATAAAATCAGCCACTGAAGTAAAAAGGGGGGCGGGGAGAGTAAATGATCAGACAAGGAGAGCAACATCACTCTTTTCAATCCATATTTCTCACACAGTTGCTGCCCTCCTTTGATATTTGTGCATGGACTGAAGAAGATGTGGTAAGCATTTTGTCCTAATTCTGTCTTAATTGTGTTAATGTAGCTATAAAAGAAAATGGATGAACATCATAGTAAATGACATCTAGATTGTGGGATTTGAGAAGGTTGTGGAGAAGATTCAAGCACTGCATATTTTTAAAAATCCTGTGCCTGTATGTTAAGCCAACCTTCCAGGTGTAATGTAGACCTTGCCGTAGGTGCTCTAAGAATGTATACTTCACCACTGTCAGGAGGAAAGGGGGACTGCAAACATCAGAATCCCTTTTCCCAAGCCATTAGGACTAGAATTCATTATAAGTGAAGAGCCTAAAAAGGGGATGGAAAACCACTTTCATATACAATACAAAATGTAACTGCTTTTAGTGGACTAGCTCCAGTACCACCTCTAGATCATACTTTAAACATTTGTTCAAGTTAATTGGTAAGCAAGAAATTTTAGATGTTTATCTTGAACATGTCAGTGTATCATAGCAACTTTAATATCCCTTTTAGCAGCCTTTCAATACATGATGTATAATGTGGTCATTTAACTAGAGGTTACTGAAGGCCTAACTGAAAAGTTGTAATGGTCCAAGCTGCTGAACTCTTCCCATTCATCACACAAGAAACTGTTAAATCTATGTTAGGAGCAACAGCAATTAATCAATAAATGGCTGACTAAATGGCTGCAAAGCAGAAGGAAATTTATATTAACTAACAAAATTGCAAGACAGCCCTGAAAATTAATTATAATGGAAAAGTTTGATTTTTGTCCCACAACTAAAAAGGCTTTACATTTTTGTATTAATTGAATAGTGAGCATTACATTGAGTGTTTTGAAGTGCTGCAACTTATATATTTTAATTATTTGATCTTCAAAATTGTGTTCTTTTTCTGTTTTTGTTTTTGGTTTTTTTACAGTACTTTTGGCTGCACCAGCTTGTTAAAAAAGGTAAACTATACATTATATATATATCTCACAGATTCAACTTTTTTTTTCTAGTGAAGAGCACTATGGATTTCTGAATAACCTTTCATATCTTAAGGTGACACTTCTGGTGAGATGAGTGTTTATGCCAACTTGTTTAAGGAAAATCATATCACTGGAAAACGGTTGCTTCTTATAGAAGAAGAAGATTTAAAGGACATGGGAATTGTTTCCAAAGGACATATCATTCACTTAAAGGTATCTTAATAACATGTCTTGATAATCACAACAGTACGTAATGTAAATGTTGACAGAAATCATCAAGTTTATCCAGCTTAATATAAGATTGAAAGCTAAGGCTAGAAGAGCCTTTTTGGGGGGAAAAAAAGGAGTCATATCCAGAACTTGCTTGCAACAGGCATCAGAACAAACCTAAACACTTTCTAAGATGCCAAAAAGATTGCTAACCTATATATGTTTTGTTTTTTTTCTTCTTAAAAATATCCATGTTTTTTCTGCATTTCCTGGTTTTGTCTGGGACAGGAATCAAAAATATTTCAAAAGACTCTAATAGACTCTAATAACCCCACCGAATTGAAACCTTTGGAAATCTTATTACACAGCATGTTCTTGCAAGACTTCCAGCCTAACCAGAGAGCTTTGGATAAATAGAAAAAATGTATTTGAACAGAAATCTCTGAACTTGAGTTTCACCAATCACCTCTAATTTGAAACTGCTTTGTGTACCTAACGCTCTATTCTTGAGCAACAGAAAACCAGTTGAGCACTAGTGAGTAGCACTTCTTTGCTATGTGAGCTTTATTTCATCCTTACGACATTATATTACTCTAATTATTAATAGTTACACTGAATCCAGTGTGGAAGAAAACATTGTCCTCACTCTGCGTTGTGTTTAAGTAACAGGTAGCCAGAGGCAGCTTTATTACGAGCTGCAGCAAGGGAAAAACTGGTTCGAACAGGGGGGGAACCTCTCCACCCCTCCTCTCCCCCCGAGGCAAATCTTTGAATACAAGCAATTATGAAGCAGTTTACAGGCAGTCCCCGAGTTACGCGGATCCGACTTATGTCGGATCCGCAGTTATGAACGGGGCCGTCTCCCTGGTCTCCAGAAAACCAGGGAGAGGAAGCAAAGCGGCGGAGCACGCGGGCAGCGGACAGCCCAGACGCGTCTGGGCTGTCCACTGCCCACGTGCTCCGCGGCTTTGCTCTGCTTTGCTCCCCGTACCCCTGCAGACCAGGGGAACGGGGAGCAAAGCAGAGCAAAGCTGCGGAGCACGCGGGCAGCTGACAGCCCAGACGCGTCTGGGCTGTCCGCTGGCCCCGTGTTCCGCCGCTTTGCTTCCTCTCCCTGGTCTGCTGGAGACCAGGGAGCGGAAGTGCCCCGCTCGTAACTGCGGCTCCCACATCAGCCGG